CCCTGCCCGCCCCAGTATTGACTACATCACACCTTTTCCCTCCCAGGATCTCAAACACTACATTCTTCCCTCGAGGTTGAGCTTGCTCCTCATTCCCCTGAGAAAGGTGGGCCATCAGGAGAGAACTTAACCACGCCCCCTGTTAGGGGCTGAACTGTGTCCCCCCAAATTCATGTTGACCTCCTGACCCCAGGACCTCAGATTGTGACTATATTTGGGATGGGGTGCTCAAAGGGGTGATTAGGTTAGAATGAGGTCATGAGGGAGGGCCCCAGTTCAGTGTGAGCGGTGTCCTGATAAGGAGATCAGGACACAGACACACAGAGGGACGGCCACATGAGAACACGGGGAAGACAGGTGTCCACACACCAAGGAGAGAGGCCTCAGGGACAAGCAGCCCTGCCGGCACCTTCAGGTCAGACTTGCAGCCTCCAGAGCTGTGAGAGATCAGGACTGCACGCATCTGCCCAGTCTGAGGGCTCTGTCACGGCAGCTCCAGGCCAATCAACTCCCGCTAAGTCTGTTCCCTCTCTGCACCTGGCCCCGCGCTCGCTGTCCTTCCCGTGAGAGGGAACAATGAATTTCGTTTGCCCCTTTAGAAAATCAGCAGGGGCGCCTGGGTGACTTAGTCGGTTAAGCGTCCAACTTCGGCTCAGGTCATGATCTCCGGGTTCATGAGTTCGAGCCCTGTGTCGGGCTCTGTGCTGACAGCTCAGAGGCCTGCTTGGGATTCCGTGTCTCTCTCTTGGGCCCTCCCCGACTCATGCTCTCTCACTAAAAATATTAAAAAATAAATAAAAAAGAAAACCAGCAAATACAGAAACTACTGGTGAGCTCTTTATGTATATATATATTTTTTAACATTTATTTTTGAGAGAGCATGAGTGGGGGAAGGGCAGAGAGAGAGGGAGACACGGAATCCCAGCAGGATTCAGGCTCAGCACAGAGCCCGACGCGGGGCTTGAACTCACAAACTGCGAGATCATGACCTGAGCCCAAGTCAGATGCTTAACCGACTGAGCCACCCAGGCGCCCCAGCAAGCCACGGGTGAGTTCTGATCAGTGTGACATAATGGATGTTTCTAAAACCTAGCTATACTCTCATGGGTTTAGAACTGCTTTCCTGAGAGAAAATTCTATCTTCCCTGGAGGAGCCCTCCACCTCTCCAGACACCTGGGACGATCAGCCATCAGGTGAGTGTGTTGTTCTCCTCAATTTCCCTCAAAGGACACCACCTTTGATCAGCTGGTTGTTTGGCATTAGTTCACAGTACGGAAAACCTTCAAGTGCTTCCCGAGACTTTGCCAGCTCCCGTGGGATGCTAGAACTAATGGTGCTCTACAAGGGGGAGGAAAGAGGCCTCTGATCTGCATCATTTGCTGATTTCCATGTTGTAAATGCTCCCACCGCGGCGGATTCGGGCTGCCGGTGTGAGGCCACTGAAGGAGAAGCAGCACGCAGCTGTGGATCTAAGTAACCTTCGGAGCCCAGCTGAGAGTAAAGTATGATAAAAGAATTAGGACATGGTGGACTAGGAGTTTTTGCTACCTCTCAAAAATATAGTTTAATTGGGGCGCCTGGGTGGCTCAGTCAGTTGAGTGGCCGATTCTTGGTTTCAGCTCAGGTCATGATCTCAGGGTCCTGGGATTGAGCCCCACGTTGGACTCTGTGCTGACAAGTGTGAAGCCCTCTTGGGATTCATTCTCTCTCTCTCTCTCTCTCTCTCTCTCCCTCTCTCCTGCTTGCACTCTCTCTCTCTCAGAAAAATTTAACTGAGTGTAAGTGTCTATAATTTAACTTGAAATAATGGCTGTGTTTAACAAATGACTCACAAAATTCCTAAAAACCAACAACCAGCTTTTAAGAGCTGGTCTCCAGCACACCACTAGCTGGTTATCATCTAGCGAAACCTAAAGTCCATGTGTTTCTTTAGGGAGTCTAAATTTCATACTTTGATTATGCTGGATCATCAGAGAACTTCGTATTTGCACCAAAGAATTCCTCTCGGCCAAACCATATCGGAAGTCCCTTTCTGTGTTACAAGCACCCCCTATCCTATGAAGCAGAGACTCCGTCCCACAGAAGAAGCTGGAAAAATCACACACTCACTTCCTTTGCAGACAGGCGTGGGCACATGACCCAGGCTCTGCCAACTGGAGGCACCCGCTGCAGTGACGTGAAGGGAGATCCCTGTGGGATCCATCGTGCAAATGGCAACCTGCGTCCAGATCCAACAAGTCTTAGCAATGAGCACAATCATCTCTCTGCAGCCCCTGACGCCTCCTGCCGTTCTCTTCTCCGACCCTTCTTCCTGGAAGTTTATCCTTCCCCCCTCTCCTCTATAGTTCTATGCATGTTTGTATCCCTAAATAGTATCTTATTTTGTCTTGCATGGTTGGGAACTTCATATAAATGGAATCATGCTGTGTGCATTGTTCTTTCTTTTGCTCAACACAGTCTCAGAGACTCATCCAGAATGTTGCTCGCAGCTGTAGTTCGTTGAGTTTTCACCCCAGTGCATTATTCCATTGCATGAACACATCACAGTTTCTTTACCCATCCCACTGCGGAGGGAGAGCTGGGCTATTTCTAGACTTTTCCTTGTTCATCTTTTGCTTATTTGGCTAAGGGAAAAAACCTCCACCTCGGACAGAGGCTGGAAGGAATACAAGTTACATCTGAATATTGCTTGGCTTGGTTTCGTACAGGGCATAAAGAGGTTAAAACAAATTGGGTCTCTGTCCCTTTATATCTCAAAACTTTGATCTCATTTTGACCAGGAGGATCAAAGCAAGGCCTAATGAAGCGAGGAGAATTATCTGGAATATTAGCAGTTTCAAAGACATGATGAGGCAGTGAAACTAGAGTACAGAGTAACGAGCAGTGCCTTCCATCATGGACATCTGAACCGTAATGCTGGAAACACGAGCAACGCCACACAATCATCTACATCGGTATAGAAATCTGAAGAAGTGCCGAAGCGTGAAGAAGTCTTCGGGAAATATCTCGGGGCCACCAACCTATGGACCGATAGACGTTATTATTTAGGTATCGACTTTGTACAAGGCATTCTATTAGGTATTGAAGGCAGTACACAGATGTTTACAAGAAAAGATGCCCTAGACCTTAAAGAGCTTATATGTTGACTATGGATAGACCCAGATACAAGGACATGTGTCCTAAGGGTCAAATGAATGGCCAGGAATATAGCCTCTGTACGTTTTCTGCTGCACCCCTGGATTGTAAGCTCTGTGGGAGCAGGGACCGCAGGAGGGTTCTTTCCATCGTGTCCCCACAGTTTTGAATGAATGCATGAAGAGACTGGAATTGTCCGGAAAGACTTTGTGGAGAAGGAAGGTCCTGGTGTGAACGCTGAAGGGAGGTAGCACTGACTGAACAGCAGCAAAGAGGATAGGGAACAGTAAAGTGGCTGGGCCTTGGTATTGGGGGTGGAGAGAGGAGAGAGCCAGGCTGCAGCAAAGAGCTGTTCAGCGAATGAAGTGGGGAGGATGTCTGGAAGGGTGAGGTAGGGCCCCAAAGTCAACGTCTTGAATGCCAAGTTAAGGAGTTTAATTTTATCTTACAGTTAGTGAGAATAACTGCATTGCAGTGCTTTGAGCAGGGGAGAAAAACTGTATTTTGGGGTAGATTTATGTTCTAGAGGGATGCAGAAGAGTGGCAGATAGGGTGACAGACATAACTGGGCCCCCCAAACCAGCTTAGTTGGGGTTTATTTGCACAGTAGCAGTTGGAGGGTGCCAGGGAGTGGTAGGAGAGGACAAGCCCTAACGCACAAGCGCTTTTCAGGAACCTCCTACTTTCTTCTGTCCTTTTGGACAAAGCAAGTCACATGTTGAGGCCCAGATTCAAGGGAGTGGAAGTTAGATACACTTCTTGATGGAAGGAAGGGCAAAGCCACAAGGCAAAGGGGTGAATGTACAGGGAGGGGTGAGCTTCTGGCCATTTTTGAAGTCTCCTATCCTGGGCTAAGGGCTAAAGAAAACAGAAAGGTCTAGATGCTCGGAGTGCTGGGTTAGAAAGAGCAGAGATGCATGCATCCACTTTGTGGAATACATCTAAATGCCACACATCTTAAAATAAGATCTGCCTCCCTTCTGATTTGGAGAGATTAATCTAGAAATTATGCAGGTCAGTTCAGGGGGGTGTATAACGCAGCTCGCAGAACCTGGGTGTCTAGAGAAATAGACTCAGATACTGTCTTTCCCTCATTCTTTTGGGCCCTGAGACATTTTCAAAATAAAAGTGAACACTGCATATAACCGGTTGGAAGCATTCCTGGTTTCTTATTAGCCTGTGTCAGCAGAGGAACTCTCAGAACAAAGCGCGTGTCCCCCCAGTTTTCCCACTACCAACAATTTACAGCACAGTGCATCATGGGCACAGTATAGGGGGCTGGCAAGCTTTTTGCAGACCATAAAAAAAAAAAAGTTTTTGAGTCATGACAAAAGTTTTAACTCAAAATTTCAAAAGATACTGAAAAAATCTAAATTCACATACATTGTTAAAATAATTTGAACGGAGTTTCTAGATTTTCTTGCTTCCTTAGAATTTTTAATTAGAGATGCCAAGAAAATCACACAGACAATAGCAATTTACATGACTTCTCTATAGCCAAATAAATCCAAAGGTAAAATGATTAAGTATTCCTTCAAACTCAGCTTCATGGCAAAAATCCAAAAAAAAAAAAAAAAAAAAAAGATACTTAATGTAGACTGGGGATGAATTACTGTGTTTGTTATGTTTGGAGGTCCCCAAAATAAACGAGCTGCCGAGGGTGTCGGGAAGGTAGTAAGACAGAGGAACAGGGAGGGCTCCAGGGATTGGGCGAGGGCCTCCTGTCCAGGGCTATCTACGTTCTCCAGGTGGGGAAGCCCGAGACCTCCGGCCGCCCGAGCCCCTTATCACATCCACACAAGCCAGGTTTCCAGGGTTCCGCCCAAAAAGGGTCCGGAAGCAACTCTGCTGGCCTTTTACCTACTTTGGCAGAGAGCAAGGCCCCGCGAGAGACGTCCTGCTTGACCGCCCAGGTGCTCTGCAGGCTGAGCGCTGGGTGCCGGGTGCTGAGTGCCAAGGGCCAGAGACCGGGTGCTGGGTGCCCGGCGAAGGCACTAACAGGAGTTGCCACGATAATTACCTCCTGCGGAAAACAAGTGCACGGACACTGCGGCCGGCCGCCCACGAGTCACTGAACCTTAAAGGAGGAGGAACCCGCTTCCGCAGACCCACCCACCTCGCGTCCGCGCGCGGCTCCGGACTGGTCAAGGCCGCCAAGCGCCGGCCTCCTGGGGGCGTGGCCCCGCCTCCCCGCCCCGCTAGGCCACGCCCCTCGGCGGCTCCGGTTCGCAGACGGCGCGGCGCGCTCCTCCGACGCGAGGCGCCTTCCTCTGACGTCAGGTCCCGCCCCCGCCCCACCCCGCGCCCGCCCTCTGCAGCCGGAGCGGCTTCGCCTGAGGCGGCGGCTGAGGCGGCCGAAGCGGCGCCGGGGGTCGTGGTCGCCGGCCCTGCGGCGGCCCGCTGTCAGTCTGCTCCCGTCCCGGGCCGGCGGGCGATGGTGCGGCGGAGCGCGCGGACGCGGGCGGCGCGGCGGCGGGCATGAGGGAGGATGGAAGGGCAAGATGAGGTGTCGGCGCGGGAGCAGCACTTCCACAGCCAAGTGCGGGAGTCCACGGTGAGCCGTCCCGCGCCCCGCCCCCAC